GAAAAGAGGCTGTCAAAGCCAGAGTGTACCCATGAAACTGGCCGACGCAGATCTGCATGTTGTCGCCCAGCGACAGAACATCCTAGCGTCGTCAAGAGCCACATTTTTCGCGGACAGTCATGAAGAGGCTCTGAGAGCCAGGCTGCAGCATGACTGAAGCGCCGATATCTACCCGACCCGGTCAGCAGCCTTCTACGACAGGAGGATTCACAAGGCGCTAAGACTTTTGAGTCGCCAAATTGCCGCCATGACATCGTATGACTCTGGTCTTAGACATTGTGAGTCCGATGTACGCCCTCCGCTGCACCCGGGGGTGGTGACTTCCATCAAATTCTGTTGTCGACCTAGCCAGTGTTCCAGTGCAACAAGAACTGTCGGATGTCATGAGATGGAGGTATAGGCAGTCATGCGGGTAGGTACAGGCGTGTATATGATGTTGGGGCGGATGCATACATTTGTGCACCTGTGCGTTAATACATTCATTTAAGTGTGTATGCACAAGAAGAAAAGGGATAGAAGAGGCGGGAAAGTGCTGCCAATGCCTAAATTGTCCAGATATATGCCAAATACTTATATGCTTATATCAAAATGCCGCTCTAAGAGCTACACGCGGTGAAGTAAGCAAAAGTAAATAAAGGCCCTGGGGAATGCGATATTGCCTGAATGTCGGTACATGCATAAAGTTGACGAATGTTCGTTACTCTAACCGGAGGTGTGGGGAGATCCGCAGTGGGGTGGGGCGAGTAATGGGGGGAGGACAGAAATGAGTGGTTCTCTACGAGTCCCGTTCAGGCGAATCGAGTACCTGGTGCCACCTAGGCGTCCTCGTGATTGACATGTGATAGCGAGGACAAACTTCGAACACAATTTCTGTTACAGAAACACATTTTCAGGCTAAGGAATATACAAAAGCTCATCGCATTCCATCAAAAGCAGATGATCTGCCCTACAACTGGAACCCCTCTATTTACAGACATCGGCAGGAAGGTGATAGTATAAGCCAACTCAGAGGGCCATAGTGATGAAGCGAAGAGCAGACTGTTAATAAATGCGAAGCAAGTTGGCTACCAACGATAAACTCAGTAGTGTGTCGAGTTTAGTGGAAAACATTAGAATGATCAAAGATACAAAATTGCCTACGAAATGATGGGTTGAAGGAGGCCTGATTTCTCGGTAAAGTCCTACTTGTCGTGTACGACGGTGTGACCAGG